TGGTTCACATCCTTAACAGTTCTGTGGTTTAGTGCACACACATTTAGGTTTCCATGATATTTTAGTGAACTGACTGTTATTACATAATGTCTTTTATTTTTTCTTAAAATTCTCTGTATAGTCTATTTTATTTAAGATTAATATAGCCACTCCTGGCTTCTTCTCATTAAAGTTTGCATGGCACATCTTTCCCAACCTTTAAATCTACCCTTATCATTATAATAGAATGACTTTATATAGACAATATACAGTTGAATCATGTTTCTGCACGTATTAACCTATCTTTTAATTGGTGTATTTAGACCATTTATACAAACTCCAAGAGGCAGTAAGCCAACAGAAAATGGAAACTAGAAGCACTATTATATCTCAAAGCTTGGAAGAAAGAGGAGAGAAGTAGGACTGGTGGGAGGCAGGAGGAACCTAGGAGGGTATTTTTGTTGTTGTGTTGTTTTACTTTTTTCTTAAAGAAGAAACCAGCAAAGAGGTTAACAATATTGGAGATGGTCCTCCCTGGTGGCGCAGAGGGTTAAAGCACAGCACTAAGAAGCTTAAAGTCACTTCAGCATGAGTTTGATCCCTGCCCCGGAGGTGACCCACAAGGCCCGTCAGACCTCTCCTGGCCTACCTGCTGCTCCCCTCAGTAGTTTACTTTGTCATTCTGCCTGTTCTTCTCCCCACTCTGTCTCTGGAGAATCCTCTAACCACACCTGTGCCTATGGCCTGTACCCCAGTTCTGTATGCATAAATAAATAAATCTTTAAAAAATAGATTGGAGATAAAATACCTGTTGGCTCAATGTTACAAAAGAGAAATAATCAACTTCAGACTATCCAGAAAGAGGGCAGTGAACAGAGGTATCATCTGGAGGGCAGAAAATCAGGTGAGGATCAAGCTGCTGGCAAGGGAGACTGGTCATTAGGTGATCAAGTCTGCTGGTTCAGGGGCTGGGCAGGCTGCTTGGGAACATACGTAAAATGATATCCCCAAAGGGCAATGTGTTAGATACTTTGAATTTGTAGTAGATTCAATCCAGTCATAGATTTTATCTACAAAAGTTCATTCAACTGTGATCCTCCAATCACTATTATCACTTGCAAAGCCTTCCCCTAAGTGGATCTGTGTTTCCAGCCTCTCTCACATACACAAACCACAGAGATGAGTCTGACCCTTAGACTTAGCAAATGAAAGTTAATCACAATGAACATTTTACTGAGTATTTACAGTATGCTAAGTAATGATTTCTACATTATTTCAAAGTTTTATCTTCACAATCTGATTGCATGGACATTATTTTATAGGCATGGGTAAAACAAAAAATTCTTTAGTGATTAGATACACCACTAAAAAAAGGGAATTTGAATTCCTCGCTGTGTGCTAATGAATTATGTAAACTTTTCTATTCTTCTCCACTTTGAATTATTCACTACAATTAGCTAGGTCTAAGACTGAAATAATATTTTAAATTACTCTTACTACTTTTCAGATGATTATTTTTGACAATTGCATTTAGTTGCATACACTTAACCATATCTTCTAGTTACATTGCTTTTTAGTAATTCTTTAAAACCTGCTTTCTCCTTGCTTGAATTACTAATTTTTACTCCCCTTTCAGTGGGAAGAGTATTTTTCACATAGGAGGTATGTGGATAGTACTTTTCCTAAACTGGGCATGTGTGACTGGGCACCTTGTTCTTCCTGGAATTCTGTCTGTCTTCAAATTTCTATTTGCTGTTAATGTACATTGTTTCTTCTGTATCAACAATGAACTCTTTATACAGATAAAGTTTATGATCAAAGCACCAGATCCTGCTCACCAGCTACCCCAGTTTCCTTATTTTTCCTGTAATAGCCTGAACTAAATAATTAAGGCCAGGACTTGGAGAAGGTGACAGAGCCTTGTACTATGCCGTATTTTTTTTAGCTAGACATTTGTTGCTGGGACTCTGATATAAAAAGGCACACCTCTTTCCACCCTGAGCTCTGACATGGTTTCATGTGCTCCTTCATATTCCATTTCCTTCTTATTGGGCTGGTTTCTGATCACCAGTAATGTGACTCCTCTGACTGCAGTCCTAACTGCTTGAGAACATAAAGAAAATAGTATTTTATTTAAGTAAATGAAATGACAGGTCTGAAGCAGGTATGTAGTACCTTTGGGTGACCAAGTTTTCTAGCACACTCTGTCTTAGAGTATGATGTATGCTCAAGAGTTCAAAGTCTAGGTCAATTTCTTAGTAGCTTATAGATCTTTCTAAGTTGTCATTTCTTCATCTATGAAGTAGGGATAATTACAGCATCTATTCCCAATGGATTATAAGAATAAGATAATCTACGTAAAATATTTAACACAATGCCTAGCCCACAGGAAAAAAATAGTATTTCAGGAAATACTCAGAGGTATATGATAAAAAGGAATACTTGATTTTTCACCTTCTAATTCATCATTTTATTTTTGATGTTTAATGTGTAATATGGGGGTCACAGAAAAGACTATTTCAATCACTCATTGTCTTTAGAATAGGAAGCTGTTGCTTAAATTGTTAAGAGGGAATTTTTAGGATAGATAATAATTATGTTACGAATTATATTTTTTAACAAAATATTTACATATCAAATATGCATTAAACAGAATTTAGTTATACATAATTACACTTTGATATGCTTTAGAATATACAGCTATGGAAATAAGAGAAAAGGAGAAAGATAAATCCTGGAAGGTGTCACTAGTATATGTAGTACAGAGTAAGTGACCTAACAGTCAGATGAAGACCAGCTTGAAAACCAGCCCTTGAACACTGACTACAAAGCTGACTTGTTCAGAGGGGGAAGGGAGTGAGGAAAGGGTGAGAACAAAGAAGGAAGGAAGCACAGGGACCATGGGTGATGTGGAGGAGTGGACTAAGGGCTCGACACCAGGTAGAGGTATCCAAACACTAGCTCAACTGAAAAAATAAAACCATATCATGATTTAACAGATTATTTACCAAAAACCAGGAATCTCCCCAAATAAATTACTATAACTCACCTCATCACTGTTAATTCAAAATCTAGGAAATAAGGGAAATGGAAGATGTGTTAAAAACACTTGGGAGATAAGGAATTTACCCTGTACGTGTGGCAAGAGCGCCTAACTTAAGAATGTCAAAGTCCAAGTGTGCTGTGCGGGGCTTTCCTCTCCGGGGACACTAGCTACACACCCCGCTGATGACGTATTCTAGTTATATTAAAGTTTACAATGCAGACAGAAATATAGATCCAACATAGTGAAGGGTGATAGTAAAACACAGTTACTCTGGCCAAGCAAAAATTATTTTGAAACTTCAAATATTCTAAAATAGTATTATAGTATTAAGTGAAATCAGCATGATATCTTATATTTGAGTGTGCTGTGCTCAAGCATCTTCTGGACTTGCAAAAAAATTATTTGGACAAGGAATCTTAACACAAATATTTTAGAGGCTTCTGCATAAAAACAACCTCTAAGAGATGAGATCACAGCACCTTCTTATTCTCTTACTTAAAATAAAGATATCAGAAAACACCTTAAAATTACCTTAAAAGGTTGGAAACAATTTATTCTTGCTTGGAAATTAGTCAGCATGCACTACAGACCCTACACAACTTGACTTTTAAAAAGTCCAGTACTCATCAAAAATGGGCAAACAAAAGACATGAATTCTTTGACTTAAAGCAAAAGAAATGTCAGTCTAAGTGCAATAGGAGTAATTTTCCATAAAGTTAATGAAAAATACAAAGTAAACTATTTTTAGGAAATAAATTATAATTTCATTTACAATGTATTGAGCATGTAATTGCAAGTTAACTTTGTTTACCCTAAGTCAGTTGGTATAACATTTGCTAACAGAAAAACCAGTTACAGTTATCTAAAAATGAACTTAAATGTATAAAATAATTGCTTTAATAGTTCTTATATAAATGTTGAAGATTTCATAGATATTTATTCCCATATTTCAAGAGAAGTATCAAACTGTTTAAAATTAAGGTAAGTTAATTTGCAATGCCTTTAGCCAATGTTATACAGTTAATACTGTTATGCTACTCAATTCTAATTTTAAGTGAATTTATTGGGAAAATACATGAATATGTTTGAATATGTCATCTGCCTTATCAAGAGATTTCTACATATAGTCTCTTTAGAAAGCAAGAATAAGAATTCCAGGGCCCTCCCTGGTGGCGCAGAAGGTTAAAGCACAGCACTAAGAAGCTAAAGCCACTTCAGCATGAGTTCAATCCCCGCCTGCCCTGGAGATGACCCACATGGCGCAGCAGACCTCTCCTGACCCGCCCACTGTTCCTCTCAGCAGTACACTTCATCCATCTGCCTGTTCTGTGCCCCACTCTGTCTCTGGTGAGTTCTCTCACTGGCACTGCATCTCTGGCCTGTACCCCAATTCTGTATGCATAAATAAATAAATCTTAAAAAAAAAAAAGCATGCAAGAAGGAAAAGTTAAAAAAAAAAAAATGGAAAGGACACGTGTCTCACAGGATTGCCTGCGTCTGAGAGTGCCACTGCTTATGTCTGACCTGTTTGTCGAAGACTTCTTGGGATGCTTGGTTTAATAATCTGGTGTTGTCATTTTGATATCCTTACTCATTTTTTTAAAGGAGGGTTCATTTTTACTTTGTGCAAGGCTTGGTATATCATGGAGGCGGTTCTGCCGGATGTGAATTATGACTTCACATTTATATATGTGCAAATTCACCTTAATTTCTTCATTTGTCACCATGGGATAACACCCAATTAAAAGGACAAGAGCATTACATAAAAAGGGATACAGCTGGCATGTAGGCCACAAAAGAGAAATAGGAAAAAAAAAAAAAAAAGAAAGAAAGAAGAGAGAGAGAGACAGAGAGAGAGAGAGAAAGAAGAAGCAGCTCAGGCTGTTCTTGCTCTAATTTCTAGGCATTTACAACATATAGAAGCCACTATACATTCTGATTACATATAGCTGAAATTTAAAGTTTTAATACTTACAATCCATATATCTGTGGTGCAATTTCTAGCCTGTTTAAGTGCATATAAAGCTCAATATCATGCTTTTTCAGAAGATGATCCTGGATCTGGTTGACTTTAGTAACAACAGCAATTGTTGGCCCTAAATCCTGTGGTCTAGCAAAGGGGATGGGTGTCATCAGTGTTTCTTTCCCCTAAAATCGGGAAAAATGGAGCATTATTTCAATATAAAAGTAATAAATACATGAACATCACTTTCAAAAGCATTTATCAATGATAATGTAACACAGAGCCAATGACTGCTTCCCACACCTATGGCTCTGTGCTGATCCTCATTCAGATCACTCCACAGGAAGTTTAAATGTTAAAATAACAGTTAATCCAGCAATTCCACTCCCAGAGATATATAAAGAGAACTGAAAATGTGGTCCCACAAAGGTTTGCACAAAAATGTTTATGAGCAACATTATTTTTAATAGGCAAAAAAGTGAAAAGAACCCAAATGTCCATCAACTGATGCATGGCTAAAACATGGCGTATCCACACGTGAAATTTTACACAACTATGGAAACAATGGAGGACCCTGCATGCTACACATGGGTGAACACTGAAAACACTGTGATAAATGAGGCAGCCACAAAGGTCACATATTCCACTTAATGAAATGCCACAGTAGGCAAGTCCACAGCCACAGGCTGTAGGTCAGGGATTCCAGACCCTCCGGGTGGGGGAGGGAAGCGATTGTTAATGAGCACAGGATTTCCTTTCAGGCTGATGGTACGCCTTAGCATTACAGCGTGGGGATGCCCACACCACTTGAATACACTAAAAGTACCAAATTACACAGTTTTAGAAGGTAAGTTTTATGATATTCTAATTATATAAAAATAAATATTATAGTTAAAAATGAGGATGAGAGAGCAAGGTATAAAAGATATAGATTGCAAGTATGTAAATTCAATGACTCAAGTAAAACAACCTATTCAATAGAGACTTGATCTCTGATGTCAGGAGACGTAAGTAACAATCAGTCAGCTCACTGGAGTGGTGACAGGTCAAGCAAAGAAACACATGTATTTATCACATTATTTAAGAAATTGTATTTTATCGGTAATATATGCACATATGAAATTCTATTTATATAAACATTTTATATTACCATAGTAGATCAGTCAATATACTAGAGAGATGATTTAGTTCCCAGTTCAATCTTACTGTATAAGTATTTTTAGTTCCCCACCCTCCAAGCAATACTAATGGCTTTATTCTCTGATTATATGTTGCTGAAAACATTTGTTTCACAAATACACTGACAGGTCTGTACTAGAAGCTTTACCTTTTGACCATCATGTTCAAAAGTAGAAAACCAAGGTTCAGCAGTTTCCATAAGTTGTGAGAACATTGCACTAAAGATCAAAAATAATCAAATGTTAATGTCAAGCTTCATTAAAGATGTTATAAAATAAATTAAAATAAAAAATGCTTTTGTACTTACTAGGCATCATGTTCCAAATACTCAGGGTCTAAGAGGGCTTTCATTTCCTCACTTAAAAAAGGAATACAAGTAATCAAAATGTGTAACAATTTAATTGAAGGAGGTGCTGAGGTTGCATTATTCTATATTTATAAGTCAATTTTCATATAATGTGCAAATGAAAAAAATTAGTTTTTTAAAATGAAAAGGGCAACTGCATTAACAAATGAAATCCTTTTAAAAAATCTCTTCTTTCTGCATTGTCTACACCACAATAAGGTAACTATCTAATTATTCCAAAAAACAAATGCAGAATGTGACAATATATTCTTGTGTCTGACTTAGAACTGATTTAGTCCAGAGTATCGCTTGTTTTATATATATATATATAAATAATAAAGTAATTGGTCAAATATGCTATGTTAAAACATTATTTTTTTAAAGGGCATTTTTTATTACATTGTAACATCAATTAATCAGAGACTAGAAACAGCTAAAGTGACAAGTTCAATTCATTTGAAGTTCAATGCACACACATTGTGGAAAGATAAAAGTGGATTAAACACAGGATCCCAATAGTAACTCATCTCTATCATCCTTTAGAATAGCAGAAGGCAATTAACATATGGTTACTACAGTTAGATCCAATGAACTCCAAATTTTAGAAACAACGTAACTTGAACTTTCTAAGCTATAACAAGCAAACATTAACAGAAATTTTAACTTTACGTTTAGCAAAATGGGTGGCCAGGTTTGACTGATGAGGGCTACAAAAACACATGAAATGTCACATTAGTTTTCTATTTTTCGAATTGAAGATGGACTGGTAGTCTGTGACACATTCCTGACAGAGTTTGATAATCCTACAGTACTCAGTCCCCCAAACACTTCTCAGCCATTTAGTTAGGCTATAGTAAGAGAATAAATTCTAACAGTCAGCCTAAATTGAACACACAGTTACTGAAGTTATTTTGTTGGGAAGACCCAAGTAAGGAGTTAAAAAATATGAAGAAGTCTTTCTAATTATTTGTAGATTGGAGTACTTCACAGTACTGAAATTCTACTTGTTCAGGGAACTGAGTCAAGCCTGTTAAGGACAAAGCATCTCATGATGAAGCTCTCACAGGGTTTGTAGTCGAGGAATGGGTCATTAAAAGATTGTATCTATGAATACGATCGGTCATTATCTCTCTGCCATTACAACAAAAGCTTCCCCTTCTCGATCCTTCCGATGGGTCTTCCGTCAGATATATGGTACAGATTTTGGATTTGCAACGACAGTTATGATCTTAGATTTGCCCCACAGTTGACCTGGGTTTAGAACTCAGCCACAGACAACACGCCCAGATGCATACAACTTATAACAGTACCTTACATATAACAGATTTTGAGCTAAAAAGAGTTCAGTAGGGCTGAAAATAAACAGTTGGGCTCATAGGAAACTTGCCTTGGTTGTGCAGACTCACTAGCATGAAGAAAAGCTTGGTGGTCGCAGTGCAGGATGAAGACTATGGGCGCCAAGAGCTCGTGCATGCCCTGAAACATAAGCGCGAGAGCACGTTGGGGGCCCTGAAACATGAGCGCGAGAGCACGTTGGGGAGGAGGTTGAGAGTCTGTGGTAACCGGCACAAGTTCAGTTACCCACTTCCGCTGATCCTTGCTAGCAATATTTCCAGATTATACAGAAAAGCACAAAAAAATCAAAAGCTACAAAATGAGATTTTATGTGCTTTTAAAACTTGACTCCAGTTCAACCACAGCAATACTCTTCCTTAAAACACGGAGTGCAGTTCTCTTTTAAATGACACAACAAACAATAAATTGGCATGGTAGACAACCTTGCACCTGTCAGTTGCTTCGAGTTCTGTACTCATAAATATGAATTTCATTTATGCAAATTATAATCATGAGCTACAGTGCAAAAATCTGCAGTAAGAAGGGCAACTAAGAACTGTAGACCTAAGGAAATTACATCCAATGTTTTCATTATATAATGGCTTAAAATTAGGATGTCTGTAGATTTAGGAAGAGCTGAAGTAAGCTAGCTGAAAATGTTGGATAATAAAAGAAACCTTTTTTCAGGTATGACAGACAACAAAAATTTAGAGTATGATTTTTAACACATTTATTTAGAAGACCACCACACTAAAAAAGGGTCACTTTTTAAGTTATTTCACCAAGATGTAGCACCTTTCTCTTCCCCTACCCTGCTACTGTTCACCTACTGGATTATAGACGAGGCATGGGAGCAAAGAGGTACAAAATCAATCACTAAGCTGCTTTAAAGGTTATTATAAAATCCATTATTTATTACGGTGGGGGAAATAAGCCATTTCACTTTAGGAACTTGCCTTGTTAATTGAGATTCTTTCCCCCTTAAGCATCAAAAAAACATATTTGAGCAAGTTAAAAATAGATTATACTCTTCTGCCTCTTAAGCTGAGTAAATTACCATTTATATTTTACGTAATAACTTCAGATGATCTTTCATAAAAAGACAAGACCAAACACTACCTTTACAGGAAGTATAAAAACAAAATATGAAAGCAGAGAGAATTTTTGCTGGTGGAAGAGAGAAGACAGCCTGTTCCAGGACAGCAGTGTAGCCAGTGCAGTCTACTGTGGTATTCTTGGGATGCCAGCTGTTGTCACAGCGTGACAGGCAAGTACACTTCAGAAGTTATAACTAGCCTAGAATCAGAAGAACTTAGTGACATTTTTACAAAACAATATACGATCCACTGACAATTTACTTGTGATGTAGGACAGGCTTTCACATAGCATGCCACTCTTTCTCAGGTAAATCTCTCCTTACTACATAAACCTTGAATATCCTGTAGAAAATCATGAGAAAGAGCTAGAAGGAACAGAGTAAAATGTTGCTAAGTGAGCTCTCAGTCACTGTGAGGTGGCAGTCACTGGCTGGCAAGGAAAAGGGGCCAGGAGGTGGCCAGAGGGTCAATCTGCTCACAGGAAAGGGCCTGGAGCTCAGGTGGTGGAGGCGACGTGGCGCGGGGATTCACGGAAGCAACTCAGTGCTGAAACTTACCGAAATGCACGGGCAAACGGTAAATGATAACGTGAAACAAGTAACATTAAATTTGTATTTCAAATTTCACATCAATAAAAGTGTTGGTTTGTATCTTGGAAATTAAGAGTCCTCCAAATATTAATTCAACATTTATTTCCAACTGAACTATCAATAAATATTTTCTCAAGTAGCCTTGAGAGACTACTGTTCTCCTTTCAATTCTAGGTTAGGAGAACCCAATGAGTAACTCCAAGTGGCAAGTATGTAGACATTATTAAAGGAAAGGAGGACTATCTAGAAAAAAATGACCATAAATTCAATCTGCTGTAAATCTGACAAAGCATTATTAAAACAATATAACGTCAGGCTACCTCTTGGCGGTTCAGATGCGTATTTCGCTCTCATCTACAAGTGCCAGCGTTTCCATTTGCTTAAAGCCTTTATCCCTGCTGTATTGTTTGGTAGTCACTCTGCTGCAAACTCATGCCAGTTGAAAATAAAGGTAACAAAGTTTTCTTCCTCAACAGCCTGTAGGCTCACAAAATTGAACCTGTTCTTTTATCTGCCTGTGCTCATTTAGCCCACCAAGCAGTCTTTATTAAAGCTGAGACATCAGGCAGTCAAAGTTCATTAATACCATTTATATAATCTCTGCAGTTTCAATTAACTCAGCAAGACATTCTACTACATGATAACAGTCTCATTAATTCAATAAAATCCCATAACTATTAACAATATGGTCGATGTTAAACGGGGTGTCACCTAGTACAAAATAATAGCTTTAACAGCTTGTGATGAAACTCAAGGTTTTTTCCTTAGATTTGATCTGGTTAAATATCCAGTCATTCTACAGCAAGGTATGACTTCTACATAAAGAATCGATAGGATTTTTAAACATAGACAGGGAGTAATTAAATCCTAGAAAGTGATACCCAGGAGTAAGTTAGTGATACTTTTATTCAGTAATTGACACACTCTGTCTAAACGATCAGAATCTGCTCTTCCACACTCAGGTCTAACCTTGCTTACAAGCACAGGGGCCACGCGCAGCACAGACGAAGCTACGTGTGGCCACTGTTCTGGCTCCTTGTCTTTGGAACTTGTTCCCATTAGCGAGTGAGTATGTCCTTCACCTAGTGTTTACTTTCTCTGAAGAAAACAATTATATAACAGCATAATTTCATTCGGACTTAATTAGTCTTTCACTGTGAGGTATTTTTCAAATATTTGAAAGGGGAGAAGAGGACAATGAGAAGACAGTCTTTGTGACAAAAGCTGACACAGGGAGCAGAGAAAAACAGAAACTAACCTGGACCGTTGTAGACACTGAGTTGCTGGAGTGATTAATGTTGTCGCATCACTTTGCCCCCAGACCTCTTGAAAAAATGTGTTCATAGCATTCTCAAGAGTTTCAATCATTCTGAGAGAATTTTTTTTGCTATTTGCTTCCCCCAAATTCTAAATTGACAGAGATTTATTTATTCCCATTCTCCACTTTTTGGTTGGCTGGTGTTTTCATGTTCCGACTTTATATTTGACCCCTGGATACTTTCTTGAAAGGGACTTTCCTACCCTGAGAGTATTAAACAATAGTCGTCCGTTTTTTTCCTAGTATTTTCATGTAAGTTCAGTTTTTATATACACTTGGCCCTGTTCTTGGTTTGTTCTACCGATCTCCTGGTTGATTCCCGTATTACCAGCACATTGGTTTGTCCATAGAACCTTAATAGAGTTCTCATATGTCCCTTTACCATTCTCCCCTTCTAATTTGTTCTGCGGTGATGATGATAATGATCACCACCTCAACTACTAACATGAACCCTCATCCTCCAGACAGTGAAACTAAGAATTTACTTTATTTAAGCTGATCAAGTTTATTTCAAATTAAACATGCTCCTCGCCTATAAAGATAATTTGAGGCTATAATAATTTGGTGGCCAGCTGATGGATCTACATTGTAAGTTTTGACAGGAAATTTACTAATTTAGTCTGATTTCTCACTTAATGTATATTTGTAAAAATACAGAAAACTATCCAATTGTGTGTACTTTTATTAAAAGATGAATAGTATAAGTAGAAACTGTGAAACTTCTGTATATATTAATAAATAATTTACATTTCAACAGTCTTTTATGCTTCAGTAATGGATGAATCAAATAACAGGATCAAGAGAAACTGGATTTAAGCCACAAAAAAATTAATGGAAATTTCAAAAGTTATGTCACTAGCAAATTTTAAAGAATAAAGGGGTTCTGGGTGATTTTCACATGGCATGTCACATATTTATAAATGTTGTGCCTGGAAACAATATTTATACATACAATCTGAAAAGTTTTATTACTAGATTGGCTTCAAAGATGCTGTTTATAAACAAGCTTCCAAAGTTGAAAGAAAAGATTGAACGCCTTCTAGAAGCCAATTTGGCGGAATGTCTTATAAGAAGGAAGACGATATGAGCTTCAATGAGCTTACTTTTCTCACCACGCAGCTGACAAGCAGCTCTTTGATTGCTTTGCTATTATGATACAACTCTGGATACAATAAAGGCTACATTATTGCTCTATCATTTGTCAAGCTGTATAGAAAATTTTGAGTCAATGGATGCCACCTGTACGATATTTTCATTACCTGTTTATAAAGCAACTGCTCGTTTTCTCTAGCATAACAGAAAAGAACATCTGTAAGAATTTTTCTCACATTTTCTTGTTGGAAAAACTGCATTTCAGGAAACCTGAAAAAAAGAAAACACAGGATTGAAACTAACACAATTCTAACAATTACCCTCCAACTCTCAATGCTTCAGAAATGCCAAGGCTACTTTATATTTTAGGACAAATCTGTATCTGCCATACAACTTACACCACTGGTGAGACTGAGACTGATATATTACTGGAAAAAATGGGCAAGAAAAGGGAGACTACATCACAGAGAAAAATGATGCTCTTTACATGTAAATATTTCAAATGTCTTCAGGTAAAGTCTTCATACAGCGAATACAACAGTTTCCCAGCAAAATGAATTGCAGTCTCCATACCTGGTTAGGGTGAAGGGTGGCTTTATTTATCCAGTTTGGTTTTTAGAACTAGAATGTAATTTTGTAAGTAACAATTTTTTAAAGAAATCACTATCAGTTTTTTTTTTAATATTAATTATCAGGATTTAAATTTTATGACCTTCCTTTTAGCTTTATCTGGTTAAAATGAAGGCTGTAAGCAGAACAAGTTAGTATTATCCAAATGCTGTCTGGATCAGAAATCTACCCAGTGCTTTGAAGTAATAGGATAGAGGTAAACACATGTAATCCACTTGAAGGGTGCTCACATAGGCCGTTAGAATGCTGAAATGTAGACTTGCAAAGAGCCAAAGACCAAACACAAACAAATATAACATATAATGAATACATACAGGGTGAAAGAAAGTCTACTAGAAATAAACAGTCAAATGAGTTAATCACAAATAGGAGAGGAAGGACACAACGCCAATGGAGAGGCAGGCAGGCAGGCACAGAAGGCAATGCGTGCTCTAAATGCACAGCAGAGTATACTGATGAGCTGTCAAAAGGAAAAGTACTGCTACAGCACTGCCATTTGGGAATGGAACAGAAAATACGACAGGATAAAGCCGGAAAGCGTTGAATTTACAATTGAGGAACAGTAACATAGTCACTCCGTTTTTAACAGGGAAGTAACAAAGAAAATAGTATTTGAGAAACCCTAAATGTGAACAGCCTGAAAGAGGAGAGATTATAGGAAGGAGATAAGAGGGCATTATAATGAAGTGAAATAGAAAAATCACAAACCTGAAAAGAAAAGCCTGTGTTCAAATTCCTGTTGCATAATTGCTAGCTGTGTAACCTTGAGTAAATGATTGCTGAAGTGCCTCATCTATAAGTAGGGATAATAATACTGATCTTGTGCTCAAGATGAGATAATGTGAAGCCTCGGAGAACAGTGCCTGCAACAGTAGATGTTCAGGAGCAGAGGTCATTATTAGTTTTGAGTATTAGTACTTGAGGTGGTGAAGAGGTGAGTGAGGTGACTTTAAGACTAGAAAATAACAGGATACGTGAGACTGAAGAGTATCTGAATATGGAGGCCCTGGACATGCTGGAAACACAAGCTTCTTCCTTTATGAGCCCTTTCAAGAGCAGAAATGGCTGTTTTACTTCAAGTTATAATGGTGTAGGGTCTTTTCCTGCTAGAGATGATAAGTTGTTTACATCCTCTTCCTCTTTTGGCTCCTTGTGAGAGTTATAACTTTCTCTCCAACCCAGACTAGGATCTTGGGTGAACTATGCTAGCTTGTGAAACATCTCTTCTCTAGTCCTAAATCTTAAAATACACAAACTAGCACATATCTAATTTTGAGCTGTTCATTTCCTTTCACTTGGCCTTTGCTTTGATGTGCAATTATTTCCCCCTTCCGCCCCCCCTTACACACACAGATATTCTTCTTCCCAGGGGCAGCAGGCAGTCTCTTTTAGAAACCTTAAGCAACTCCTGGGTTTGAGCAAAGGGATCTGATCTCTGCGAAATCTGAATGGGGTGACTCTTCAGACAGCTCCTACTCAGGAATGGGAGTTCAACTATTGATCTTAGCTTCCAGCAAAGAGAAAGATAAACCAGAAAATGAATTTGGAACCAGGACAATATACATTAGAAGTCAAGAAAGATAAACAAAAGCTGGAAAATGCACTGCCATAGGAACAACAACAAAAACTTATAAAATTATTTAGGACAGAAAGAAGTTGTTAAAGTCCTTATAAAGTCAAATATCCCAATTAAAGTATTCAGAATGAAAGACAGGTAAGCAGTTAACAAATGGCAGAAGAGAAATTTCTTGGGAACACACTGTCTTTAAGGTATAAACAGAATAATCCGTTTGAAGGGTGAAGCTGTTTTCCCAATCTCCTATGGATAACATAAATCTAGCCCTATTTTTAAATAGGCTTTGTGTCTCATGATCCAGAGCATGTGGCTGAATGATTTTGAGCTCCCGTCCTTAACAATCCTGTGGAAATTTCTATGCACACACAATCAAATTTGGTTTAGCTGCCGCAATCTGAATTGATACGGGAGAAAGTATTTAAAACAACATCCACTCTGTAACAAGACTAGAGATCGACAGGAACTAAAATACAGATAATCTTAATTATGCATTTTTAGTACATAATCATTTGAAAATCAGCATTAGTCAGACATGGCATCGTGACACAATCTATGACTGTAGGTAGCACCCCATCTATGATTCTACTCTACAATGCTGAAGTGGCAATCCTTGGAGACTATGAGAGATTACGATAAACAACTTCATGTCAACAATTTGGTAACTGAAGAGATGTAAGAAACAGATGAACGAACCCAAACTCACAAACTCAGAAATTAAAACATTAGTAAAAATATTGTATGATGCAGCAATCAATGGTACCTGTGGGCATATATCCGTGAACTATAAGCCATCAACATATATAAACCAACCCATATGTCCTACAGTATTTACAGGAGCTAGGACATGGAAGCAGCCTACACCTCTTCAGTAGACTAGTAGTTCAAAAAGATGCACTATGTCATGCCATGGCATGTCCAAGGATGAAATGTAGCCACTTCAACAAAACAGTGGTAATCTGAAAAATGTCTATGCAACGAAACAAGTCAAAACAATAAAAACAAATATTGGACGTTCATATAAAAGACAATTCAACGACATAAAACACTTTCAAAAATTACTGGATATTGACAAACTTATCTGAAGGGCTCTGAGGTTAAGGGGAAAGGAACAAGGAGACACAGGAAAGGATGGAGATAATGCAAAATCAGAGTTTATAATCACCATTTCTTCATGGAAGGATGGAGGGAAGGCAGTAGAAGAGGGAATGGAAGGGGTGGGGAGGGGAGAGGGAGGGGATAGTGAGGAGGGGAAAAAAAGGAAGGGGTAGTTTTTCTAGGAGAATCGATAATCAGTTTTTATGATGTTTTAAGTTTCAAAATAAGTTCCATGTCATGCACTACATTTCTAAGCTAGCTAGCATTGTTACTTTCTTCTTCCTCCCTCGTCCCCCCCACCCCCTTTTTTCTTCTTCTAACCACATGCCCTCTGGAATTGATTCAGGATAGGTAAAGTTATTCCAGCATCAGTCTAACTCAAATATCACTGGAATGGCAAATCTTTTGACACAGAATACAAATTTAAACTGGGTTCAACAATTGTTAAGATTTGAAAAGTCAATACTGACTCTACAGATTCATAAAAAAGAGAACTGATGGTAGGTAAACACAAGATAGAGGGAAAAGGTAAGAATGAAAATTTCAACCTCATGATTCATTCAAGCAAAAATAATTGATAGGAAAGTAAAAGGGAAAAGATTACATTAAATAAGGACTGAAGACAAATGTTGTTACTGTCAGAAAATAAAATTCCAAGAGTAGTAATGTCTACTTTTGGTGAGAGAATAAAATAGATATGGTAAACAGATAATTGTGAAACTCTGATAGAGATAAAAAGCAAGGAGAAAGCATTATTAACATTTCCATGATGAAATTTAGACTAAGAGAGCCTAAGGTTTTTTATTTGATAGAAAAAAAGTGGTATTTCACTTTTAACTTAGTCAGTATTTAAAATACAGCAGTTTTTCTCTCAATATGTATACAGGAAGTGAAGTTTATATAAATTTTACATATTATAAAATAATACCAAGAGTTTGGTATGGGAATTTTGTTTTGCATCTTGATATAACCCAAAACCTGCAGCTATTATAAGTCTTAAAAATCTTTCATTATGACAAATTCAAAAATTATAAAGAAGACAACAGTGTACTGAAGCCCAAAAGATCCATCATCCAGGGATTACTCAGCAATTCTTCTTTTATATATAGGTAGCTAGTCCTTCAACAATGCCCCATTTTGAAGGAAATCTGAAATATCACTACATCTTTAAAGATTGCCTTTCTATCTCTAAGAAGGCCCTTTAAACATATAGCTACAACGCCATCATAACATCATTAGTAATTCCATGATTTAATTAACCATCTATCAATGTTTAAATTTCTCTAAAAATTCTCAGTTTCTGCAAATCAATATCCAATTAATGTCCACAAATTTTTAAATCTTTTTTTGTGCAAAGTCTTTGTTAAAGAAACTAGATGTTTATTCTGTAGAAACCTCCAACAATCTGAATTTTACTTAATATATCTCATTTTGTTATTGACCACGTCCCTCTTTCCCTGTATTTCCTATGGACTGGTAGCCAGGTCCAAAGACTTCACTGCATTTGGGTTCAACTTTTCAACAAAATTCTTCATAAGTTATGGTTTAATGGTTTGGGTACTTATTCACTAAATCTTTAACATTCATTCATAAAACACTGGAAGAGCCAGACAAACTACCCTGTTTAATCTTGTGCAAGTTGTAGACCAATCAAACAAAATAAATATGGCTGCCTTGTAAGCTTTACAGTGGTTTACAATTGTGGTAGATAAATGGAGCAGATGGTGTTGGGTGTTGTATACTCTAACAAGAGACATGTATTGTTAGCTTATTTTCTTTCTGTGATACTGGCAACCATTGATGATCATCAGCTAGATTTAATTTATCAGTGGTCATAAAATAGTAAAACTTTAACTATCATTTTCTCTTACCTTTTTATTTGAAATCAGTATTTCGTTATCTCAAAGTGCAGATTGAACAAATTTTGAAAAATCTTGATTTCTGTTACATTTGTCATGGATACTTGTTG